CTGAACCGCCAGGACGAGGGAGGTGGAAGGGTGCAGTTCCCTGGGCAGGCGCTTAGCTGCCACTGCAGGGTTTGGGCAAAGCCCCAGGGACCTTGGCAGCTGTCAGGACCTCGCCTGACAAGTGCCAGGGCAAAGCGGCCCTTGGGAGGCTGGTCAGAGCACAAGGGGCTTTCCCCTCCCACGGCCAGTGCTGCCTAACGCGGGCGGCTCTTCTGCTGCGGTGCCCATACGGCTGGGGCGAGTGCTTGTCCCAGCTGCCTCCAGCGAGCGCCACGCGCGTGGATTTGACCTCTTCCTGCTCTAGCCACACAACACCGAGGAGCTTCCCATGCCCAGCGCCCAGCTAGGAAACCAAAGGCTCTTTACAGCTTGGGGTCACCTTTGTGCCCAGCCTCTGAGCGCACACACCCCAAGAACAGCTTTCAAAAAGCAGATCTGAGACGCGTGGAGCAGACTCCCCGAGGAGCTGGGCAGGTCTGCAGCGGTCTCAGACACGGGGATTCTTCTCAGCTGGCTCGAGATGAGCAGGTTCCCAAGGACGGGGCTTGAAAGCCAATGCTCCCCTCCTACCAGCTGCAGGTCTCACCACTTACCATGCAAACTGGATGCAGCCAAGGAACCACCTCCTCTGAGCTGGGACTTTGCTTCCTCCACAGACCGGTTCCTGGGAGGGCAGGGTGCAGCGCTGATCGACGGGGGTAGAGCGTCAATAGCAGGCCATGAAATCCCCAGGCTAGGACAGCTCGACTGGTCTCATTTTTAGTGCTATGGAGGTGGAAGCAGAAGGCATTCTGATGCCAGGCAGCAGAAGATGCCCAAAGATCTGGGTTTGACGGTCCAGGTTTGCCCTTGGGGGTGCATCGGCCCCATACAGGGACTAGCCAGCAGTTGGACACAGCCCCAACCTCACAGCAGGAACACCAGACTTGCATGGGCAAAAGACCAGCCTAGCCCGGCGGCAGTCTGGATGTTCCCATGTGTCCACTCGTGCTGGTACCAGGCGAACACAGGTTTTAGACAAGTGCCTGGACTCGGGTTCCCACACCCACATTTGGGCAGGTAGAGAAGACTGGCCCCATTTCCTGGAGCTGTGTCCCTGCCACTCCAGCGGGTAGGAGCAGCTCTGGGTGGACTTGTGAAACCCGGGGCACTGCCACGTGCAGCAAGACTCATGGGAAAGCACTAGGTAGGGAGATCTGCCAGCTTCCAGCCCAGCCCAGCCCTGCTCCAGACACCAATGCTCCTCAAGTCCTTTCAGTTGTTTTAGGAGCTTCTGCTCCCTGAGGAAGCCACAGCCTGGCAGAGCCTTTGCTGCATTATGAAGTGTAGCTAGCTGGAATGAGAGCCCAAGATGGGGCTAGTGAATCTCACCTCCTGGGACAGTGATGTCTCGGCACTAGGGCAGGGAGGGAAGAAAGAGAAGATGCACAGGCGACCCAACTTGCCTGAGGGCAGAGCACCACTGCAAGAATCAGCGCTCACCCCAAGAGGTCTAGCAAGCAGCTCCACCTACCTGCCCCAAGGAGAGGGGGCTGGGGTAATGGGGGCACATCAGATGATGCGTCTTGACTCCCCTATTGACAAGCCACTGGGAGGAAGCTCTGGCAACACAGCAGACGAATACCTCGGGTGTGTGCGAGGGTGGGTGCTGGGGCATGGGAGAGGCGGGCAGAACCAAGCTACTTCTTCGTCACAGGGCCAGGTCAAACCCAGACCAAGGAGGTGGCTCCGAAGCAGAACGCCGCCAGCCAGCAAGTCCCCATGTGGGGAATGCAACCCTGCGGCATTGCTATAGCTATGGCAAGACGGCAGCTGCCCTAGGAGCACCGAGGCTCTGGGTCGAGCCTTGTGTCCAAAGGGGCATGTCGGTCTCTGCTTGGACATTAGGAGCGGCATGCTCACTGTTGATCCGATTCTCAATCCAGTCCTGGACCTTCCCCTCCGCTTCAGGACACTCCTTGTTTCCTTCGAGGCTCCTTGCATTTCTGAAGTGCTCTTCCAAGTTGTTCTTTCCCTTCCTGACCATAATCAAGAACAGAAAACCCAAGACAAGGCACTTGGGAAACATCTTCCTACAAAGACCTCCTGGGCTCTGGCACGATCCGTCTAACAGGAGAAGCGGAAGTCCTGTCACTTTGGCATTTAAAGCAAGATGGACACCACATGCTAGCAGCTCAGGATAGAGATGAGTCATCAAGTGCTGGAGGGTTTTTCCATCTCATTTCCAGCATACAGCCCTTCTTGTGCAAGAATACGTTATAATAAATACTGTGTTGCCAGGGACTCACCAACTAATCTTCGCCTCCTTGGAGAGTAAGGCTGGAGGGGCCCGCAGGAGGCCATCGAGTTCAACCCCCTGCTCAAGGCAGGGTTAAGCCACCCCAGCTAAGTGCGTCTGACCTGCTCTAAAAACACCCAAGGATGGAGGAAAATTTCTCCTCCTTTGCGTAGCCTGGTCCAATGCTGAGCCACCCTCAAGGGGAGAAAGTGCTTCCTAATCTGCAACCTAAATTTCTCTTGCTGCCGTCCAAAACCATTTCTCCTTGTCCTGTCCCCACCTCCCTATGGGGAGATGCTTTGCATCCTCTCTTCCCTTCCCACCCACACCTCTTTTCTCTTTCCTGGCACGGAGGCGCAGACGTTAAGGGCCAATTTGATTTGAAGGGACTCGGCCCCCAAAGCTTCAGCTGAAGTCAAGACCTCATTCCCCCCCTAAATGAGCAATACGGGGCTTAAGTGACTTGCTCTGGACAAGAGGAGTCAGCGGCTTCGCAGCTCTTGGAGAGCAGCCGTTCTCCACGCGTACCCAAGAACCGCACGTGCACTCACGCAGCCAAGTGATGCTTTCTGCTTTTATTCAATTAAATGCAGCATTCTATACAAGGAAAAAAAAATGAAATCCATGAAACTCCAAACCCTGACAGTGAAGAACTAAAGTCTTCCTAAGAATCAACCGGAATTAAAAGATTCCCCCCCCGCGTTGTACTGTACATAAAATAATCTCTGCCCATTTACAGTGTTCCACACAGGACTTTTTTTTTTTTTTTTAATTTTTTTTTTTTGTGTATCTCAAACGTCAGAACTGTACAACTTTTGTTACAAACCACGCTCTCCTATGAAAAAACTTACAGAAAAAATATTGCCACTTTCTTTATTTGTAACAAAAAAATTAGAGAATCTTTAAAAAACAAAACGTCAGCCAGAACTTTAGGTGTGTGCGCGTGGGGGACGGGGAGGATGCTGGGGGCCAGCCGACACGTCAGGCTGCTGGCTCTCCTTCTGACTGGGAAAGGGAAATTGCATTTGGCATATAAAACTAGCCGTCACCGGGGGCAGGTCCAAACCGGAGTCCAGGGCCAGCTTTGAACTTCCCCCCCAGTTTCATGGCCGTATGAAACTGGGGGGTGGGTTTAGACCCATCTCCAGCAAGCATCGCTATCAACAGCGCCTACTAACAGCATTAAAAACAAAGAACAAGGAACCCCCCCCCCCACTCCCT